AGGCAGACATGTCGTCATCTCTATACCTTGGTGTCCAAGCCAAATTTCCTTCTCAGAAGCTCTTTCCTCAGTGAAAATCAACTCAGATAAAAGGACTCCAGTTAACTGCCCACTCTGATGTTTCATGACACGTGTGTTTATAGTCTGAACCCCTAGGTTCAGTAACTTTCTCCACACCTGGTGCTACGGTGAGAATTTGGAGATCACTCTTTGTCCACATTCTTTCTTTAGAGTAGCTTCCTAAAAATGGAATTACTGGATAAAAGAGAATAAACATTTTAAGGGTTGTGATACATATTGGCAAATCGCTTCCAAAAAGTATTACCAATTTATACTCCCATGGGCCAGCAACAGTGCCTCTCCTTGAGCCCTGGCTCACTGTACCTCCCGCTGAATGGTATCGTATCTATCATCTATCTATCATCTATCACCTAGGTAGGTATTTTCCCATATTTATATATATGAAATATACTTCTCTCAGGCTGCTTTGCTTATGGTATTAAAGCGAATCATGCCCCAATCCTCTGTCTCACATATATCCTTGTGACTCCAAGACACCAAACCTTCCAAAAATGTGAGGAAAGTAACACCCCAACATGTTTGTTTGGTCGATGGTAATTCTGGCAACTGTAGCTGTTGATTGAATGCAAGTTGTTCTTTCAGAGGTTAAAGGGGTGTATCACTAAGGAGTAGGCTCAGCTGTGAGTGACCAAAAATCCAAATACCAGTGGTTGAAACTAGATAGATTTTTTTTCTCTTTCTCATATCAACAAAATTAGGAGTTAAGCAGGCCAAGGCTAGTGTGAGATCCATGAAACCAGGTTCTTGCCATTTTCCGTTCCCAAGTTTGCATCCACATTCCATCCAGCAGGAAGGAGAGAAGGGCCCAGGAGCTACGCTGCTCTTTCCAGAAGACACTTTGCAGAAGCTGCACGTCTCTTCCTCGTACAGCTCGTTGCCCAGACAGCCAAATTCAGCTGCAAGGGAGGGTGGGAAATGCAGTCTTTTTTCCAAGTGATCATTTTCCAGCTAAAAATCAGATGGATTAAGTAAAGAACAGACACCAAGGAACAAATGACAGTCGGTGTCCCGGAGGCACACAATCATGAGATATGAGGTTTGCTCTTAAATGACTCACACATTGCTGATTTCCTGGAATGCCTGTGTTCCTCCTTTACACAGAAAACACAGCGCTGTGGAGACTAGCCTGTTGTTTTTCTTTCTTTTAGTTATAGTCTGCTTTTCCTTTGACACCGACTATAGTTTCAGAGATGCTTCGAATTCACTTTGGATGTCAAATGGCTGTAACTCCTCATGCTTTGCTCTCTTTCCCGGCCCAGCCTCTCTGTCTGGAGATCAACTGATCTGAGAGGAAACGCTCAAGGAAACTTCAAGTGAGGCTGGAAGTTTGCTTCATATCCTTTCCTTGACAAAGAAAAATGAATATGTGCTAAAACATCAGGAAGCAAAAAAAGAAACTAAGGGAGAAGGAAGAAAGGCAGCAGTTCTCTGGGTCAAGCATCATCCAAATTTAAAAAACCTGATTTGGACAGGCCGAGGAGCTTTAATGGAAAGCTACACATCAGTAGACTCAGGGCAACTTAGAGAGGCAGGATTTCAGCATGGTAGTGTATACATGTTGTACCCCTCGTCGAGTGCACAAGAGCCAGAAATCACGATAACATAATTTCATAAATTACTGGCGATATAAAGACGGTGATATAAGTTTTGTGGATTAGCGAAATTAAACAAAGAACAGGTATTAGCTTGAGCAATGGATCCCAGAATCTTCAGTCTTTTCTTATCATCCATAACCACTTGGCAAATGGTCTTTCTGCTGACCAATTGGTTGGGCCAAATGTCTCTATTTAATTTTGTGTCCGTCTTTATTTCCAGCGTTCTCATCCTTCTCCCAAACCACATATACATGCAGTGTACTCTACTCAAGAAATAATTTCTAATTGTATATAGTTGATGCTCAATTCATGTACATGTATTGATTGACAGTTTTTGTCTGAGAATTGCATGTGCCTTGAAAAAGTCTATATACTACTTCACATCCACCAGGATGGCTATGATAAAAAAACCCCAGAAAGTAACAAGTGTTGACAATGATGTGCAGTAATTGGAACCCTCATACATGGCTCATGGGAATGTAAAAGGGAGCAGCCCCTGTGGAAAACAGTTTGTCAGTTCCTCAAAGAGCTAAACAAAAATTAGTAGATGGCTCAGCAGTTCTACTCTGAAAAAAGAATTGAAAACAAGGACTCAACAGATACTCATATGCCAATGTTCATAGCAGCATTATTCACAACAGGCAAAGGTGGAAACAACCCAAGTGTCCGGCAACAGTTGCATGGATAAAAAAATGTAGTATCTACTACAGTGGAATATTCTTCAGCTTTATAGGAATAAAATTCTGATACATGCTACAACATGATGAACCTTGAAAACATGATGTTACATGAAATAAGTCAGACACAATAGGACAAATATTGTATGATTCCACTTATATGAAATATCTAGAAGAGGCAAATTCATGGAGCCAGAAAGTAAACCCCATGAGATAACCCGAGGTTGCCAGGGGCTGAGGGGGTGTGCGAATGGGTGTTACTGTTTCAGTGGGCACAAAGTTTCTGTTTGGGGTGATGAAAGTTATGGAAAAAAAAAGTGGTAATGGTTGCATAATGTTGTGAATGTAATTAACGCCACTGAATTGTACATCTAAAGTTACAAATTTTGTTACATATATTTTACCACACAAAAAACGTCTGTTACTTTGGTCCTTCACATTTAAATGGTATTAGATTTTATAGTTTACAAAAGATTGTCATAATATCTCATTTAATCCTCATAGCCCCATGAACTAGGCAGAATATTTACCATTTCCTTCATACCCCCTGCTTCCACCCCTGCTTTGATGATGATGAACTTGAAATTTAGAGCATCCATGTAGTCAGCTGCAGCGACAACTCTCCCACACAAACCCTCAGACTTCCCCCTCCAGGTTCAAATGCTGATCTTTTAGGGACTCAAACCCTGGAAATTCTTCCAAGGTCCTTGGATCTTCAGGTGCTCCCAACCCAAGTGGTTGCCATAGGCTTTTAGCCTCTGGTTATGACTGGCCTCCAGCCCACCCCTAACTTTGGGTATCTGACCTTCCGACAGAACCATTGTTAAAGGTGCGTAAATTAGTCAAAACACGCCTGAAAGAGATATAACTTACACCTTCAGAGTTCAAGGTACTCTATTCAAGACCATGACGATGCACAAGAAGAAGATGCACAAAAATCAAGTGGAGGGGAACTGATGATTCCCAAACCAGGGGGCAAAAAGTTGGTTAGCCTAGGAAACTAGGACTTAAGACATCCTGGGCATTGTTTATCAAGGTCTAAGTCTTTCAGAGTCACTGAAGCCCAAGGCCCCAGTCACCTCATTTAATCCTCACAACAGTGGAGGGAGAAAGGAGGGTGGGAATGGTTTTCTCCATTTTACAGTTGAGGGAAGGTTAGGTGCTTGCCCAAAGTCATACAGCCACAAGGGATAAGATGAAAATAGAACTCAGGTGCCCTGACATCTAGGCCAGGCCCCTCCCACTATGCTTAGCTGCCCACTTCCAAGAGACCCACATCCGATGCCCAGAAAATGCCATGTGGAAGACGGCTGTTACTATTCTAAGTTTAAGTTGGGGGTGGGGTGGGGGGCAGTGTGTAGTGGGTACAGCCAGGGGTGAAGGATGGGGACGCCGTCCTGCCATCCTGGATATGGAGTCTTTTTTTATGGCTTATGCCACTCCAACTGGCATACACAAGGCATAGCTGAAGATTAAACGTCCTCAACGTCATTAGCCCATTAGATTTCCTGACACCTTCTCCCAGAATTCTGTCCTGTTTACATTCCCAAGCCAGTTTCTGTTTATCACATTTGCAGAAGGTTCATGAAGAGATGTCCTCTTCCTCGCCACTCTTCAGGGAGCAAATATTCTCTCATATACTTTTGGGAAGGAAAAGAATTCCTTTCAGTCCAGAGCCTTAGTTGCCAATAAAAAAATTGCTTTACCATCCCCCAACCCTACCTTGGGTGACCAGCTTGTCCCAGTCCACCCGGACTGTCCCAGCTGAAAGTGCCGTGTTCTCCCTTTGATCCGGGGCAAACTCGAGTGGTCCGGATTTCCTGCACCAGCCGCTCTCCCTGAATCCTGCCTCTTCCATTCCTATATTTAGGACTAATTTTTGCAAGTTGATCCTGCTGCCACAGGGGCTTGTTAATAGCAAACAGACATCCCCTGGGATCACCCGAGGCAGAGGGAGATGGGCCTGCGTGGCTCAGGTATGGTGGAGTTGATCTTGATCGGAAGGCGTTCCCTCTCCCTGCTTCGTGGGGTGATGAGTCAGACTCTGCAAAACGCATTGCCCTGGCTGGAAAGACGTTCTGTGGCTCCATCTACATCTAACAAAGGCGGAGCAGTGGCCTTTTGCTCTGTAGGACAAGGACAGTCCCCACAAAGGTGAAGGGCAGATTTTCTGGGGCCTGGGCTTCCTGGTGTGAGACTGGAGAGGCTCCTAGGAGTGGAAGAGAGTGGCTGTGGCTGGTCAGAGGTGACAGGAAGAGGTGTTGGTGCCGCTCACTCATGCCAGCAGGAAATTAGGACTATCCCATTGCCCCAGGGAGAATTCTTAATGTTCCCGGGGTAGAACATTTTAGCAAAGCCAGGCAGGGAGCAATTACCTACAACGTCAATCAGTCTATGAGTTAACTGAGTAGATCCAGCACGGACCAGTTTGTCCTTCATTTCTCTTGGCAAAGCGGGTCGGCTGGCTTTGGCTGGCTTTCCCCGGCCCACCAGAGAGGGCAGGTTGTCCTAGCAGGTCAGAGGAGGCGCTATGCTAAGCACAGACGTTCAGGCACTTGCTCAGATGGCGTGTCTCAAGTGTTCCTCTTTTCTTAGGAAAGAGAGTTCTCTGTCCACGGTTAGATAAGGGCGCCTTTCTGACCGGTCACAGGGTATTTGTTTCTGCCGCTGGATTTGTTGTTTCGGGGCGTGACTGACAGCTCCGGGGGGGAGAGGACAATCTAGCAGCATTTCAGCTTTTGCTGTCTCGCGGGAGCTTGGACGACGGAGAAGACCGATTCACTGCGTGCGTGCGCCGGGCTTATGTAAGCCGCAGGCGGCCGCGGAGTGGAGAAAGGAATGCGGCGAGGTGCGGGGGCAGGGAGAGCTGGCCGGGCAGGCGCCGCAGTGCAGGCTCGGCCGCAGAGCTGCGCGTGGAGGTGCCGCGGTGACTGAAACCCTGCAGTGCAGAGCCAGCAGCAGGGGCGGAGGAGGGAGCAGAGGAGCTTCTAGCGGCGGTGCTGGGGCGCAAAGCCCTAATTTGGCAATGCTCAGGGGGTAGGGCTGGGGATGGTGGGGAAAGCTGCCTTATTGGGGCTTGCTTGTGACAATAGGTGGGGGTGTGCAGTGTGGGAGGGAGCTGAGGAGGCAGAGGGGAGAGGCAAAGGCCAGCGGCCTTGGAGCTGCTTCATAGGCGGCAGGAATTAAAGCGGCAGGCTCCTGTAACTGATTAGCAGCAGGGTTTCTCCTATGGGCCTCTCCCCTAAATTCTGTCTTCCTTATAATTTCACCCCATCTTTGGCTCTCCGAAGCGAAGCCGCAGCGCACAGCTGCCCACCCAGCCCCTGGTAAGCAGCAGAAGCCTCTGCTGGAGTCGTCCCGCTGGGGATGCTCTACGTCTCAGCCGAGTAGGCGGCTGCATGGTGCACCAATCAGGTGGTTGCAATCCCACAATATTTATTTGAACTTATTCTGCACAAGGAACAAGGCTGGGCTTTTTCAGGGCATATTCCTGCCCTCTGGGTCTAGCAGGATAATGGTAAGAAATAGGACAATGGCCCAGATAAATAAGTAATACAGCCCAAGATGGTACCTGAAAACCTGGAGGGAGATGCAAAGGCTACATGTTTTTTTTGTAGATTCACATACCTAACACCTCTGTCCTTCCAGCTGATTTTCTGCTTTGGAGGAGCAAGATGGGGGTCATTTTGTCTGATCTCTGCCAATCTGATCGGGTTGTCCATAGGCCTAAAGCCAATCGTACATTTCAGCTTCTATCCAGTGTCCATATATTCATCTCTCTGTGCTCTGGGAGGGAAAGCTGGCTTTGAAAAGCAGATGGACCTGGGTAGAGGTCTTGGCACTGCCATTTACTTGCTTTGGGTTGTTGGGCAAGTAACTTCACTCGCTGTCAGTTTTCTCGTCTGTGAAATGGGACTTAAATAAAATGTGGTTAAGAGCACAGGCTCTGAAGTGACCCTGCCTGGGTGTGAATACAGAACCCAACACTTATTAGCTGTGTGATCGTGGCTAAGTTGCTAAACCTCCCAGTGGCTCAGTTTCTTCATCTGGAAAATGGGGATAATAACAGCACCTACATCATAGGGTTGCTGTGAGGATTAAATATGTTAAAATATGCAGAGAGCTTAAGACAGTGGCTAGCACAGAGTAAGTTTTTTATAATAATGATAATAACAATAATAATTTCATCTCAAGGTTGCCGTGAGGTATAAATTAAACAACGTTCTTAGAAGTACCTGGGAAATAAATACAAATACATGTGACTATCTCCTTCCTTTACTTATAAGGAGTTAGGAAATAACAGAAGAGCCCTCTGTGCTAACATTCTGCACCTCAGAATTAAATCTAATATGGGGAGATAACTTTTTCTTCTTTTGCCACTTTACCTTTAAGAAAATGGAAACTAAAGTTGATATAGGGAATGATTATTAATATGATGTAATAGCTCTCAACATTAAATTAAAAAGTCATGCTAAAGAGCAATTTTCAAAAAGGTAAAAATTATGACTCACATACAAATACAAAACGCATAAACTTCAAACGTTTTATTTAACCCCTTAATTAGGGAATGAGTAAGATGCTAACATCTGTTCAAAGGAGAATTTGAAGAACACACACACACAACCAGGAATGTAGAGATGAATTTGCTAGTGGATACAAAACCCGTTAATAGCCTATAGCGCGATGTTTGCAAAGTATAATATTTAGAGTCAACTTTTTTACAGGATGGAAATCAATCAGATCTCTACCATTTGCATTTTTATAGGAAAGAATCATTTGCTTTACTATCAGTTTTCTGAAACTTAACTTGCATTCCTACAGAGCTGTCAAATTGCCTAGTGAATGAAAACAGTTGAAGATGCACAGCCTATAGAATCAGATAGTTCCCAGAGTCTGCTAGCCTGTGCCCAGGTCTTCCCTGAAAGGACACCCAGTAGAGTCCCTGATGTTTAAAGATGAATCAAATGATAAAATACCTTTTAAGTTGGAAAGAGGGGAGGTTTATTTGTGAGAAGCATTGACACTTGTGAGTTCATTATATAAAATGAGGTGACTACATTTGTGATGCTACCTTAGCAAACCCCTTGGGTTCCCAGGATCAAGACCACCCTCCTTCAAATGTGAGACTGTTTAGTGTTGATAACTGATACCAGGATACCTGGTACCAGAGGCTGCTTTTTGCTATCAGGCTCATCAGAGAGATTCTATGGCCTGATGACTCCTCTTCCGGAGGTGCTGCAGGCTTGAACAAGAAGTCTTGCCTCAGGTCTCCCAGGGAGTGGGATAGGAACCCTGAAGTTGGGAAGGGTAGAGGAAGGGAGGGTCTAGGCCCATGGTGGTTTGATCAACACTAAGCCATTGGGCCGCAAAATAGGAGAGCTCCCTCCTCTGACTTCCTGGCTTCTCCAGCACTGTCTATCATAAGTCCGGGAACCATATTTATATTAACATATTTGTAATCGTGAGCCCTCCAGGACCAGTTCAACTGACTCCATCTTATCAACAGAGTAATTAAGAAATTGTCTTTTAGAAAAATTGCAAAGTCACCCAGCCAGAGCATGTGCAGAAAAAGGAAACTTGACCTGAAATGACTGTGGAACCAAGGATTCCCCTTCTCATGGAATCAAAGGGCCAGGACCTGACCAGAGCTTAAAAGTCACACTTTCATCAGAAGCAAGGGGTTTGTCATTCTGGAAGATCTAGTGTTAAAACTCCTTCCCCACTTTACCGTAAGTGTTTACAACCTCATCATACATGTTTATAACTTCATCCTGAATGTGCAGAACCTTACCGTAAATGCTTGAAGCCCACCCATCAAAACCTGTCTTGCCAGCGTTTCCATGTGCCTAACCTCTTTAATTTCACCCCAAATCCTTAATCAGAGAATCAGATCTGAGGGCACTTGCCTTCTGTTCCCCTGAAGATTAATCTTGCAGAATAGAGCTGATTTCTTTTCCCCAAAGCTGCCATAGTTAATTGTCTTTTTTTATATGCATTGGGCGAGAGAACCCCAATTTTGTGTGGTAACATATTCAGTCTCCATGAAGTGGGAGACTTTTTTCCAGCCACTTTGGACATACTCATGGGCTAGTAGAAATACCCAGAATTAGAAGGATTAAGACTCCTTGGAAAGTTTTTTCCAGGAACTCAATGCTGCGTTTGCCCTTAGTTCCTAGAAGGCAGTCAGCTGTGTTTCTCAAAGCCTGGTTTGGGAGCTCCCTAAATTACAGTCACTTTGAGTATGGTCTGCAAACTGCTGAGCATGAGAACATTTAAATAATCAAGGGGCCAATCTCTTCCCTGTCTCCATTTTTTGGAAGTGAGACCAGCCAGTTTCTTAGAGCACCACAGGGAGGAAGGTAAGTGAGAGAGAAATGGCAGAGTGAGTGGTTCTCAGTTGTGATGCTGGGTGATATGGTGCATCTCCCACAGTGTTCTCCGACTCCTCCTGAGTTTGGGGAATCAGGGAGAAGTGAAGGAAGACACTGTGGAATCAATCGAATATGATTTATTCATAGGCAGGAATGAGATGGCTTTGCTTTCTCTTTTTCTTACTTGGGCAACATAATTAAGTCCAATTAATGGGACCTAATTTTAGGGGGAGTCTGTTTCCCGTTGTCTTTACCCAAAGATGGCCACCAAAGTGCAGACGAGCTCTATCTTACTGTAGGAGAGGAACACGGATTCTTGATAATGAAGGGGAAAATGGCAAATGGATGTTTATTGTGGCTTCTCTGTCTGCAGGTGGCCAACTGGGGTGGAGGTGGGGGACAGAGGGTAGAGGGCCAGAAGACACACTTTGTGTCTTGAGCTGACACTCGCCTGCATCGACTTGCCTGCTTTCTGCCAGGAGAGGCCAAGCGCTGTCCTCCAGCTCTCTTTCACGCTGCTGGAGGGGAGGCAGCACCGAGGGACCTGGTTGCCTCCTCCCTTCGTCCCAACCTGAACAAAGATGAGCAGCTGAGTGGCTTTCCTCAAAGTACGCTGGGCCACTGGGATTTTTAACCGGAAAGGGCTCGTGGGGTATTGCAATTTGGCAGCATTAGAGATCCACTCTTCTTCTGACCTCCAATCTAAGTAATTAGAGCTTTCTCATCTCACTAAACAGGGAACATCTAGGGCAGCGTGGGACAGAATTAGAACCAACCCACCAGGAGACCAGCACTCAGCCCGAGGAGGACAGCACCATGCTACGACCCAAAGATGGGAGAAGATGAATCAGATAGAGGCAGGCAGACACCTCCCCGATCTGCATTTGTTGTTGTTGTTGTTTTTTAAACAGAAAAATGACTCTCTCAACAAACCCCTCTAACAAACAAATGAGCCTAGGATGAGATTTCCAGCGCACCCCCTTCCCTGACAGGAATAATAAATTAATCCTAGGCTGCAGCAGCTGCCGGGGCATCACTCAGGGCTGTTTCCATTCAGTCCCAGGAGAGCCCCCGAAAGCCACTCCCCACCCCATGCCAGCGCTGCTAAATTTAGCTCTTCTGGCATGTGCGCAGTGTATTTTTAGTGCCTGAAAGTCAGAGTTCAGCATACAATTCATCAAGCCATCAGCCATCCTCCATCCAAGCGACACGTAGAGAAAAATCCTTCCAAAAGAGGCACTTGCTCTCCACCAGGGGTAAAAGCCATTCTAAGAGCAAGAATTCACTGGGCCAAAGGGGTTTTCTCCTGACTGGGATGATGTGAGGAGTGCCTGAGAGTGCCAGGCATGGAGCCAGGGAGCAGAGTGTGGCTCCAGAGAGCCAGAGGGCAGGGGCAAGGGGAGGCAAGAAAGCAGGGAAGGGTCAGCAGGCCCTGCTGCAATTATTCTGTTCCCACTGAAGTTGCCGGCAACTGGGTGTGGGTTTTAAGGCCCCAGCTTAGATGTCACTTCTTGTGGAAACTTGACTTGAGACCCCTCAAAGTGGATTAGGAGCCCCTCCACTGCACACTGTATTTCCTCTGCCACACTGCACAGCAGCTACCTCCTGAAACTGGAATGTGCAAACAAATCACTTGGAATGTTGTTAAAATGCAGGTTCCATTTTGGTATATCTGGGACCTTAGATCTTGCCTTTCTAGTAAGCTCTCAGGGCAAGACTCTGGTAGTGCCACAGAGGGGCTGCTCTGGGGCAGAGGCGATACCAGGCTGACCAGCCTATAGCAAATCCAGACATTGCCTCAGGGGCTGAGCTTGTGAGTTTATAGGTGAAGGCATTATAGGAGGGGTGTTGGTAAGGAGGAAAGTGCGGGTCTTCATCCCCGCTACCCCATAACACCATGATTGCTGGCCAGTGGAGCTGTACCAGGTAAGAGAGAGATCCTAGTACGTGGGAAAGAAGGATTGCCCATGGACTGCAGTTCAGGCCTGGAGCTGTTTCCACTCTCGCACCTGGAGACCTCTCTTTCATCAGAACAAGCAATGCTGCGGGGGTAACTAAAGGCTGGGGCTGCTGTGGAGGGGCTTGGGTTTTCCTGCTCCTGAGGCGCAGCCCAAGAGATAGATGGTTAACGGTTCTCATAGGACAATCCATCGGGGAGGTGGGGGAGGTTTCAGGGTACCAGTAAACTGACAACAAAGAGTGGTGAAAGACGAAATACACCAGACAATTAAGGAGATGATTTAATTGAGACTATTGTAACAGGGAGAAATTCATGAATGAGCAATGTCTCAAGGTAAAGGAAGGAGACCCCGTGGTGGTACAGAGGCAAACAAATGACATCATGAGGACGGGTCTTATCTCAGAACATTCAGACTATTGGAGGGAAGGTGGGCCTTTGAAGTTAACAATTTTGGAAACCAAAAGACGTAGGAGATGTCTCAGAACTGAAAGGACGGGGGGAATGTCTTACCTTTGTTATTTTCCAGGAGCACAGGGCTCAGGTAAGTTCCGACCGTGTCAGAATATGAGGCGGTGACTGTTAGGTATGAAAGGGGGATTGCTGTGGGGCAAGAGCAGGCCTTGAGTGCTTCAGAGCTCAGATAAGCAAGAGGTCTCTGTGGACCAGTGTTACCTGGGAGCGTCGTATGGTGGAGTTAGCTTAAACTTGCTCTTAAGCTAATTGTTAAACGTACAGCAATATTGTGAGCTAGTTGTTAAACCATTGGTAGTTTCAAATTGGCCATGGTGGGAGTATTTACACCATGAAAATTGGCAAACACTATAAATCAGCGTTCCTCCTCCACTCACTCTTCAGGAGAGCTGGTTGTTACGCATCTATCGGAGTTCCACTGCCCAGAAGTCTCTGTAGAGGAGGCAGAACTTGAAATGGACCTTACAAGTTGGGAAAAGAAGCATCTTGTATTTCTCTTCCACAGGTCAGTGCTAAAAACAGAGACTTGCAATCCTTAAACTCCAAAACTAAGTACCCAGAGTTGAAATAGAAATGAATTAAGCATTGTTATAAGTAAGGATGTATGGTTTCAGCAAGAATTTTAATTTTCATTTTGAAATGGGACAGAAGAATTGTCTTAGGAAATTTGTGACAGTACTTGTGTGCCATTCTGTCATCCAGAGAGTTCTGTCCAGCAGACATTTTTTGAGCATCTTCAATCTGGTGATTCTATTATGAAATCTCAAATGTCCTCTGAATTGTCAAAACGAGATTACTGTATGTTCCTTGTTTGACTCTTGTATATTTTGTGGCTTTATGATTGTTTTTTAGAAGTGTGTACAATTACGTATATCTCCTTTTTAAGAAGAAAGTTGATGCTCTTTTCCCAACTTGAGAGAGAGAAAAGAATAAGAAGATTCAAAGGTTTCTGTGTCTAAGGACTGAATGGATGGTGTACCACTTGGCGAGACAGAGGATACAAGAGGATTTTGACCAAATGCATTCAACATGTATCTGGTAAAGGGCATCTTGGGGCAAACTTGAGAACTTCTTATAATTCCTTATGCTTCCTAGTAACATCCTATATTTCAACAGCAACATGACTTCATCTCTCTTCATGATGGTTAATTATGGTTATAGGTTAATTATGTGTATGTCAAATAAAACATGACTAAGGAGGAACAGATGTAAATCTATGTACGAGTGAAAACCTCCACGCTTAGTCTTGTTCAGCTGAGCGATGAACTGACTGAGTCACCAGCATGCTTATCTGAATGCCACTCACTGCCATATGATCTCTTTTAATATTACTTGGGCATTCTTAAGCTTCCATTTTGTGATGAAAAAAGTTTAAATAATTATTTTACTGATCAATCTTTCAAAATAGCAATGGAAACAAATGGCATTATTGTTTTTAATCAAATGAACTCACTGGAACCCAGTTTTGAACTCTTGGGGTTTCACAAACCACCATTTTGGAAACACTGATATTCCTCGTTGTAATAAAGATCCGACATCAAATTGGAGTATGTGCACCAGAGCTATAATATTGAAAACTATGTTTTTAAAGGAAAATCCATCCAGAATTGAATTTTGTCTTAATTTAATTGGTAAGAATTTGATATTGATTTTAAAATATATTAGCTTATTTGACAAGTATGATCAATATTAGTGAAACTTTCAAATCATATGGATCACTTTGTTACCTTTGGCTTCTATCCCTGCCACCTACAAGCTTATCTGCATAGAACCAATTCTTTTCTCCTTTTCTGTCTCATTAGAATGTATGTCCTACCTCCTGTTTGAAGCGTCTTTTTCAACCAAGCCTCCAACCATCTCCTTCCCTTCCACCTGGGGCTATTCACTGTCTCTCTCTACTGCTTCTTCACCTCTTCCTTTCTAGTCACTACGCTTAGCATGAAAGTAGGCTCACATCTATTCTATCTTATGGAAGAATTCCCACTCAAGCCTAACCCACCTGCATCTACTATCCTGTTTTTTTTTCCTTCTGTTTCAGCCACATTTCTCAAAATAGCAGTTTCTACTGGTTGTTCCCGTTTTATCACCTCTGATTAACTCTTGAACTCATATGGTTTCTGCCCATTACTTCCTTGAAACTACTCTTATCATGGTTATCTCCATATCACCAAACCTACAGGCTACTTGATCTATAGTGAAGAGCTTGTATTTTTCTCTCAGGTCAGAAGCTGTTGGAGAATTATGAACAGAGAAGTGACATAATATAACGTATGCTTCATCAAGGTCATGCTGAAAGATGCAAGTATGAAGGCAGGGAGAACAATTAGAATACCATTAGAATAGTATGTATGAGGTATAATGGTGGCTTGAGCTAATATGGTAGCAATGTAAGTGGTGAAAAATGGTCAGGTTCTGGGGATGTTTTAACTGTAGAGTTGAGAGGATTTGCAGGTGGAGTGGAGACTAAGTGTGAGAGAAAGATGGGAGTCAAAAGCAGTTCCAAGGTTTTGGCCTGAACAAATGGGAGAATACCCGTCAATTCTGTTCTTTCAAGTCGGGCTATCACACAGAAAAACTCAGTCCACCCTGCTGTCCCCCTGCCAATGGTAAGGATTTTGGATTTTACTCTGAGTGACATGAGAAGCATGGAAGCTTTGAGCAGAGGAGTGACACAACCTGACTTACATTTGAGAAGGTCACTCTGCTGATTAGAGAATAGACTGTAAGTGAACAAGGACGGGAAAAGAGATTAATCGGACAATTTTACAGTAATGCAGGAAAGAGATAATGGTGGATAGAACCGAGGTGGTAACAGTGAATGTAGTGAGATGTGGTCACGTTCTGGCTATAAATTGAGAGAGAAATTGGCGGGATTTGTTTATCTTAGGGAGAAGAGGAGTCAAAGATTACTCTAAGATTTTGGCCTGAGCAACGGGAGGAATGGAGTTATCATTTACTGAAATGGGAAAGACTACAGGAGAAGCAGGATTGGGGATAGGATGGGAAATTAAGAGTTTATTTTTTGTCATGATAAATTTGAAATGACTATTAAACATCCAAGTGCAGATATTAACTGGCAGTTGTATGTGTAAGGGTGATCTTCAGAGGGGATATTAGGTTAGAGATATAAAATAGGGAATTGTCAACATAGGCATAGTATTTAAATCTATGAAACTGGTGGAGATCACCAAGGGAGTGAGTGTAGATGTTGAAGATATCTGAAGGTAAGCCCCAGTCCTGTGCACACTTAGATGGCAGATATAAGTAGGAACCAACAAAGGAGACTGAGCGGGAGCAGCCAATGAAGTAGATAAAGAACCAAGAATGATGTTCCAGAAAAAAAAAGTATTTCAGGAAGAAAACTGTGATCCTCAGGGTCAAATTTTGCTGTTAGGTCAAGTAGGATGAAGTGTGAGAATTAACCCCTGGATTTGGCTATCTGTGTGTTGGTGTGTATGTGTAGGAGTGTGTGTGTTGGGGGAGTGGGAGAGGGGATTGAAGACCTTGACAAGAGCAGTTTTTAAGGCCTGTTGGGAAGGAATGATTGGAATGAGTCTAAGAGAGAATGAAAATATCTTCTCCCAATTGGTAGGTTGTCTTTTCATCTTGTTGATGGTTTCCTTTGCCATGCAGAAGCTTTTTAGTTTGATGTAGTCCCATTTGTTTATTTTTTCCTTTGTTTCCATTACCTAAAGAGACATATTCAAAAAGATACTGCTAAGACTGACATGAAAGAGTGTGGTGCCTATATATCTGATAAGGGATCCATATCCAAAATATAAAGAACTCATATAACTCAACAACAAAACAACAAACAACCCTATTAAAAAATGGACAGAGGATCTGAACAGACATTTTTCCAAAGAAGATATACAGATGGCCAGTAGGCATGTGAAAAGATGTTCAACATCACTAAATATTAGGGAGATGTAAATCAAAACCACAACGAGATACCTCATGCCCATCAGAGTGGCTATTATTAAAAAGACAAGAAATAACAAGTGTTGGAGAGGATGTGGAGAAAAGGGAATTCTTGTACACTGCTGATGGGAATGCAAACTGGGGCAGCCATTATGGAAAATGATATGGAGATTCCTCAAAAAATGAAAAATAGAACTATCATATCTAGCTATTTCACTTCTGCCTATTTATCCAAAGAATAAGGAAACGGTAATTCAAAAAGGTAAATGCACACCTATGTTCATTGCACCATTATTCACAATAGCCAATACTTGGAAGCAACCCAAGTGCCCATTGACAAATGAATGGATAAAGAAGAGATGGTATGTGTACACAATGGAATACTACTTACCCATAAAGAAGATGAAATCTTGCCATTAGTGACAACATGGATGGACCTTGAGGGTATTACACTAAACGAAATAAGTCAGATGGAGAAAGACAAATATTGTATGATTTCACTCTTATGTAGAAGATAAACAAACACAAAGATACAGAGAACAGACTGGTGAATACCAAGAGGGGTAGGGCAAAAAGGGTAAAAGGGCACCTGTGTACAAGGGTGGATGGCAACTAGACTTTTGGTGGTGAACATGATGCAGTCTATACAGAAGTCAAAATATAATGATTTACAAATTCACGTAATGTTATAAACCAATATGGCCTCAATAAAAAATAAAATGAAATAAAAAGAGAGAGTGCAAAGAGTGGAAGAGAAGACACTGTGTGTAGACTGCTCCTGATGACTCCTGGTATACAGAGGAGCAGAGAAATAGTGTAGTAGCTGAAGGCAGAAGTGGGATTGACAGATGGGTTTAAAATGAGATTTTAAAAAGTATGTTTGTATCCAGATAGGAAAATTCATTATGTAGGAAAGAGATGAAATATTGGAGCGAGCAAAGTCCTTGAGAAGGTGAAAGGGGGTGAGACCCAGAGTACCAGAGAGGGGTTGACCCCAGCTAGGACCATGGATAGTGCATACATTGTAACAGGAGATAAGACGACTCTTATAGGTAGGAGCTGCTGGTAGATTGATAGGTGGAAGCATGTGCAGTCCTTTTCTAATTGTGTCTAATTTCTGTAGGAAATAGGAAGCCATGTCATCAGCTGAGAACGAGAGGCGTTGTTGGAGCTTTAAGGTGGGAGGAGAAGGGGTAAAATTCTTGTCTAGAGAAGAGGGAGATTGATTGGACTAAGGATGTGTAATGGGATGGAGGTTGCCACGAAGGGCCTCAGGGAGGTTAGTGGCTGTGCACTGCCGCCAGTTACATGGCTGTGTGTTTTCTCCAGCTAGACTGGAGGTTCGGGGAGGAAAAGGTGCACCACCAACTCCCTTCCTTTCCTCTCTTTTCTCTTGCAGCATGCAAACTCTTGAAGCTCTTGGCTGTTTTTTCCAACCACCGCGGTGAATTCCGGATGAGAGCTGGGGCTTGAAGAGAGACAGAGCTTTCTCTGGAATGTCTGTTCTTCCTGCCAGTCAGTGTTCATCTGGCAGGCCGGCCTTTGACTGCACTGGTATTTTAAGCATCTAAATGTGTTCTAAGCTGGCCCGGCAGCCATCCTATGCAATCCACGTCACTGCCCTTTACACCGGAGGGGACTTAGGGACCTTTGGAATGCTCAATCAGCAGAGCCTGCACTGAATTGCAGTGGAATCCATTTGCCCAGGGACAGTAAGAATAGACTGGATTCTGAGGTGGGCAGATCTAGAGCTTTTCTTAAAGGTGAGAGTGGTGTCAGGGAAGGAGGCAGTCAAAGAAGCAGTAAAGTTTGGATATGATTTAAATGAAATACGCTTGAGATAAAATGATCTCCCCACAAAAACAAAGCACAACTCCACAAATCAAAAGGGAAAGGAGGCTAGCCTAGAATCCAGCGATGTAGACATGTGTTGACGCGCCCATCTCTGCGAGCTAGGGAAAGAGCAGTATTTACTCAGAGAGCAGTTCAGCATTAATACCCGTAAAACACTCAGAACGGTATCTGGCAGATAGTAAAGCTCAATATATATTAAACAACATAATAATACTGACAAATTATTCTTATTATTTTATCATTATGCCGTGGCTAGAGCTTACCTGCTTCTTGTTTCTGTGTCTTTTTCCATACCATGAAGAAAATTGTTTAAATATACGACAGAAATTAATAGATTGGTTAATGTAGTTCTTATACAAGGATGATATTGACAACCATGAAACACATCCCAAATGTGACGTGAAGGTAAGGTTGGGTAGTGGGAAGAGGTTTTGAGCCAGAGAGCCCTCAGGCAGCCTAGGCACTTGGCCAAGCTACTTAACTTCCAAGAACCTTACTTTTATGATTTGTGAAGTAGAGAAGATAATATCTACCCTTGAGATTGTTATCAGGGTTGAATAAATCAATGTATATAATGTAATGTGAATAGCGTTGGGTACACAGAATAACTCCGACAACGGTAGCTGTGATTATTAGGAACTTTGGTGGATTCCTTAAGTGGGAAAATTCTTATTTTTTCTTTCCATGTACAGAAATCTTCTTTACCTTTTCAGGACCAACTTGATGCCAACCTCCGTGAAAATCCCCTCCAGATTCTCTTGGTCAGATTTACTCTTTCCTTCCTCTGGACTCCTATTACATTTTGCGGATGCTTCTCTTTCTCAGTCTCCCTTCCCCCAACTCATCTTGAAAGTCTTTTTCCTTGCATGTCTGAGCTAGATTTAAGATTTTTTATGCATCTCTGGATCTCTTTGCTGTTTAGTAAAAAGGCTAGGATATAGTAGGCATCTAACAAATATTTATAGAATTGAGAGTTCTCTCTAATCCTCAAAGCCAGGAAACTGACTTACATTTAAAAGAGCCTCCCTCTCTTTTCCCAAATTACCCCTATCAGAATTTCTGCAACAACATATAGTAGTGACTAAATGTATAGTGTCTGATGTCAGCAGGTCTCTTTTGGAATCCTATTCCAGCAATTGATAGCATGTTGCCTGGTATATCACAGGTAGCTAATGTTATGCTATCTATCATTATTGTTATTGTCATTGTGGGTACCGTCATCATCATTAACAGAGACAATGTCCATCTTGCTTATAATGGATGTAGGGAAGAAGGACACATACATGATGCAACCAAAGCTCAGTATATGACTGATAGTTAAGAGCCCTCACTTCATGTGGAGCACGGATGGCACATCTGGTTCCAATCAAGAAATGATCACTCTCTTGGCACGACAGAAAGGAAACAAACTATTCTGAGGTCATTTCAACAGCTTCCTGCACCAGCTGGTCAAAGTAATTAGAACAGCTAAGTGCCCAGTAAAGCCAGGCATAGAATGGACTCCACTTCCGTGACAGGGATAAGGTAGCATATTATAAAAATACACGTAAAACTCTGAGGACAAGCATTAGTCATTGTATCTCCAGTGACTGAAAGAGACTCTGATTTGGTGTAGGACAGAGGCTGTGAAAGGGGAGGTTGACGAGAGGAGGATCTCAGTCACTTAAGCTACTGCCGGGCTCTTCTCTGCTGTAACCGGGCTCGTGTTATTAACATCCAAGAAGAGGGGAACTGAAGCTGTAACACACATGACAGTGTGGTGTAATGGAAAGAAAAGGAGATTCAAATCCTGGGTTTAACACTTACTAGCTCTGTGGCTTTTGCAATTTGCTTAATCTCAGTGAATTTCAGTTTCCTAAGGATGTTTGGGAGAATTAGAGACGATGTTACATACCCATGCTCACCACCTGGCAACTTCATTATTGAGGACTCTAATACTTGACACCTGATTTTTTTCAAATTAGGGAAGAATAATAAAAATTAGACAGTTATAAAAAAAATCAATTTCAGTGAAAATGTTCTGACTGCTGTGAGTTTTGGGCATGGGCCTCCTAAGACTCTTCTTGCCCTGGATCAGAACCTCAGCAGACAGTAAATTGGTTTCTTTCTGTTCTGGGTCCTCTTCTGTACCCCAATTTTCAGCTTAGAAAGTTCTTGAAATTGTTCTTAGGGGCACTGAGCTGAGGCATGGGGAAATATCAATGCTCACTTGTTCCTACTATGGAGAAGATTGCTCAAGGGCACATGTCCCACTGATGGTGAATTAGTGATGTCATCTTCCTACATGAAGAACATTATTAATATCACAGTGACTCACACTGTGTGACTCTCCAGGCACTTGCCAGAGGGGAAGGGTGGGGATAGATCTACAAAAATATGGAGGGAGGAGAAGAAGGATTGAGACTTAGATGAAATATTTTAAATGAGGAATTAGCACCCTCTTTAGCTTTGAGAGATGAGAAACACAGAAGTCACTGGTGGCCTAATGAAAGTTAGGAGAGAGAGGGAAGTTGGAGAGGGAGTTAGAAAAGGTGAAGGGAAGAGATCAATAAAGAAGGAAGGAACCAGAAAAGAGAAAGGGAAAAAGGAGGATGTAGGAAAAGAGTGTCATTATTTAGGATTGAAACTCAAGCTATGGGGACGACCAATAAAAGAAGGTTAAATTTGTAAAATACACTGAGAGGTCAAAGGGGTCCCAGAAAGAAGGTATTTATGAACATCTAAGTCAGTGGTTTTTGAGAATTTGGTGAAATCAATGGATAAAAAAGAGTATATAAATTCCAAATGTTGATACACTTTCGTGGAATTCCCAGTTTCCCTAAGGCTGCTCCATGGATCGCCCTCTTAGGAGATTCTGCTTTATGGATTCACATAGGTTATCGTGAGACAGTGACGGGTCTAGAGCTTCCTCAGGCAGGTCTGTGTGTCAAACAGGGTTTATGAATATTACTTTTTTGGTGTTTTCTCAGCTGCATGGATGTCACTTTTTCAAATCTAGTTATATTTATTTATTTAATCACTATATTGATTTCTTTTTTAAATTTCAGGAAGTGTTGGTGGATTTTTTTTTAAACGACTGTTAGTAAATGATCCAAGGGTTTTGGGCCAAACAAAAGAGGATCATGACCTCAAATAAAACCTACCATTTGGGTGTTAGGCTCTTTCAAACGGGAAGAAGGACGTCCATTGGGGTTTCCTTAAGTGACAGGGTTTGTTTTCAATATACGTATAGAATTAAGAAAAACAGAAGTTGCATTTCATGGACCTCCTGAAGGAAAAGAAGCATCAGGATGCCAGGCCACACAGAGACTGTTGTTTAGGAACCACATTATTTAGGGTTTGGTGTAGCTTGAACAATCTTGCCCCCGCTCAGCAGCAGACATCTGTTGATTTCTACTCTAGTGTTTCTCTGTTCTGGTGGCTCTTCTACTCTTTGCACTCTTCCTGTTGCCACCTCCATTCTCTTTTACAGATTCTGCCTTCTAGTCTTTTGCCTTGCTATTTCCTCTATCTGTGTTTGTTTTCTTCCCCCCATTTTTAAGTGCTGACCTTTTTAAATGTGCCCCATTTGTTTATTTTTTCTATTGTTTCCCTTGCCTGATCAGACATAGTTCTTGAAAATATGCTGCTAAGACCCATGTCGAAGAGCATCCTGCCTATATTTTCTTCTAAAAGTGACATGGTTTCAGGTCTTACATCCAAGTTTTTCATCCATTTTGAGTTGATTTTTGTGCGTGGTGTAAGATAATGGTCTACTTTCATTCTTTTGCATGTGGCTGTCCAGTTTTCCCAACACAATTTATTGAAGAGACTTTCCTTTCTCCATTGTAGGTTCTTGGCTTCTTTGTTGAAAATTAACTGTCCATAGATGTGTGGGTTTATTTCTCAGCTCTTAATTCTGTTCCATTGATCTGTGTGTCTGTTTTTGTGCCAGTATCATGCTCTTTTGGTTATTATAGCTTTCTGGTATATTTTGAAATCAGGGCATGTGATACCTCTAGCTTTGTTCTTTTTTCTTAGGATTCCTTTGCTTATTTGTGGTCTTTTGTTGTTCCACACAAATTTTAGGATTCTATGTTCTATTTCTGTGAAAAATGTTTTTGGAACTTTGATAGGGATTGCATTGAATCTGTAGATTGTTTTACGAAGTATGAACATTTTAACTATGCTAATTCTTCCAATCCAAGAGCATGGAATATCTTTCAGTTTCTTTGTGTATTCTCCTACTTCTTTCAACAATGTTTTATAGTTTTCAGTGTACAGATCTTTCACGTATTTGGTTAAGTTTACTCCTAGGTGTTTTATTCTTTTTGTTGCATTTGAAAATGGGATTATATTCTTAATTTCTCTTTCTGCTGCCTCATTGTCAGTGCATAGAAATGTAACTGATTTTTGTATGTTGAGTTGTATCCTGCAACTTTACTGTATTCATTTATTATTTCTAAAAGATTTTTTGGTGGATTCTTTAGCATTTTCCCTATATAAAATCATGTCATCTGCAAATAGTAGCAGCTTCACTTCTTCCTTTCCAATTTGGGTCTCTTTTATTTCTTTTTCTTGCCTGATTGCTCTGGCTAGCACTTCCAATACTATGTTAAATAAGAGTGGCAAAAGTGGGCATCCTTGTCTGGCTTTTCTTCTTAGAGGGATAGCTTTCAGTTTTTCTCCATTGAGAATGATGTCAGCTGTGAGTTTGTCATGTATGGTCTTTATTATGTTGAGGTACTTTCCTTCTATACCCATTTTATTCAGAGGTTTTTTTTTTTTATCACAAATCAATGCCATATCTAGTCAAATGCTTTCTCTACATCTATTGAGATGATTATGTGATTTTTATTCTTCATCTTGTTAATGTGGTGCAGCACATTAATTGATTTGCAGGATATTGAACCATCCCTGCATCCCTGGAATAAATCCCACGTGATCATGGCATATGATCTTTTTAATGTATTGTTGTATTCAATTTGCTAGTATTTTGTTGAGAATTTTTGCTTTGATGTTCATCAGTGATATTGGCCTGTAATTTTCTTTTTTTGGGTTGTCCTTATCTGGTTTTGGTACCAGGGTAACATTGGCTTCATAGAATAAGTTAGGAAGCTTCCCCTCCTCTTCAAATTTGGAAGAGTTTGAGAAGGATAGGTATTAAGTCTTCTTGGAATGTTTGGTAGAATCCATCAGGGAAGCCATCTGGTCCTGGGCTTTTATTTTTTGGGAGATTTTTGATTACTGTTTTGACCTAAATCAAACTAAAAAGCTTCTGCACAGCAAAGGATACCATCAACAAAATGAAAAGACTACCTAAGAACTGGGAGAAGATATTTGCAAACCCTACAGCTGATAAGGGGTTAATATCCAAAATATATAAAGAAGTCATACAGCTCAACAACAAAAAAACTAACAACCCAAATAAAAAATGGGCAAAAGATCTGAATAGACATTTCTCCAAAGAAGATATACAGATGGAGAACAGGCACATGAAAAGATGTTCAACATCACTAGCTATCATAGAAATGCAAATAAAAACTAAATGAGATATCACCTAATTCCTGTCAGAATGGCTATAATTAACAAGACAGGAAACAACAAGTGTTGGAGAGGATGTGGAGAGAAGGGAACTCTCATACACTACTGGTGGGAGTGCAAACTGGTGCAGCCATTGTGGAAAACAGTATGGAGATTCCTCCAAAAATTAAGAACAGAACTACCATATGATCCAGCTATTCCACTGCTGGATATTTATCCAAAGAACTTGAAAACATGAATGCATGAAGACACATGAACCCCTATGTTCATTGCAGCATTTTTCACAATAGCCAAGACTTGGAAGCAACCTAGGTGCCTATCAACAGGTGAGTAGATAAAGAAGATGTGGCATATATACACAATGGTATACAACTTAGCCATAAAAAATGGTGAAATCCAGCCATTTGTGACAACATGGATGGACCTTGAGGGTATTATGCTAAGCTAAATAAGTCAGAGAAAGAAAGTCAAATACCATATGATCTCACTCATAAATATAAGATAAAAACAACAACAAACAATCACATGGAGACAGAGATTAGATTGGTGCTTACCACAGGGTAAGGAGTAAGGGAGGAGAGCAAAAGGGGTGGTTACGCACATGTGTGTGGTGATGGATGGCAGTTAGTCTTTGGGTGGTGAGCATGATGTAATCTACACAGAAATCAAAATGTAATGATGCACACTTGAAATTGATATAATGTTATAAACCAATGTTACCACAATAAAAAATCAATCAATCAATAAGTGTGCCCCAACCTGCTCAAGAGAGTCACTAGTGGATCCATAATCTCCATCACCTCTGATAGACCCTTTTGTGGTCATTCTACGATGGCTGCTCCTGAGATATGTGTCTACCCAGGTCCAGTCTTTGCCCCGATGTCACCATGATGTAATCAGTAACCTTCAGAGCAGGCCAGTTTCTTCTCCAGCACAGTATCAATTGGGGTTTATAGGTTTACAAGGCTAAACTCTCACATCTATCACATAGTCTGACCCTCACAATAATCTTATGAGCATTAGTATTAGCATGCCCATTTTACACACAAGGAAATAGAGAGCCAAAGAAGTTAAGGGAAAAACTCCAGGTCACTCAGCTAAGAAATGGTAGAACACAGTTCCAGGTCCTCTGACCCCAAAGGCTTTCCAGACACCAGTTTAGAGAAGAGAAACTGCGGGCAAGGCAGGGGGAACATGAGAAGAACTGATGCGGGAATGACATGACTATTTCAGAGAATGAAAGCATTAGTGTGGTGGGGGATATGGGAGGATGGGCAATGGCAAAGACTGAAAGCTAATGACCTGGTTCGACTTCAAGGGTAAATACCAGACCTGGAATATTTCAGGGTAGAAGCACCCAGAGATGCTCAGAGCCCAGTTTCCATCTATTCTCACCCCTTCCCTGAACTTCTGCCCTATGTGGTTATGACTTGCAGAGGAGAGTGGGAAAGAAGGCCTTTCCTGGAAGCCCCAAATTTGCTTTCTGCCTGACCTTTCAGGGCCTTAAATGCCTTAATAACTATTCAAGTCAATCTCCTTAAAATTTAATGTCCTTGAGAGAAGTCAGCAAATCAAATCCCTAACACTTTATGTGAAATAATTTATCAAATTACTTTTCTTCTTAATTAGAGAAACTACAACAGCCATAAAGAGGAGCAAAAGGCCCTGAAAGACAAACACATAAACACACCATTTGCTGAAAGCCTCACAATTCTGCTTGGGGCCAGCCTGGCAGCCGGCGTCAAAAAGTAAAGATGACAGAAGGGCAGGTGCAACATGTTCTCCAGCTGCAGTCCACAGGCTCCAGGGCACGTGCTCTTTCACCTGTGGGTAGTTGATCCAACAGATCAATGATGTCAGAAGAGGGTATAGTCCTCAACATCATGTCCAGAAGGATCTAGAGCAGGTCCCTGTGCCGCAAAGCTTCCTGCACTGCACTGCACTGGAGAGTGCCCTTTAAGAACCTGCTTGTGCAAGCTGAGAGTCACTCCTGCCCTCTCTCCTAGTGCTTGAGGTCTTCTGACTCCCTCAAGGCCATTTGTAGTGCTGGAGTGAGGCATGTTGCTGAGATTATTCTTTCTTTTCTTCTGTAGATTTATCAGCATACTGCATCTGGCTGACTCAGACACCAATAATACAACCTGCTATGTTGACTCCCACTCTTCTCATCAAAAGGACAGCATGGGACTTCTCTGAGGCACTTACTCTCATGAAGTGATTTATTGGTGGTTCTCAAAGTTTAATGGGTGTAAGAGTCACTCAGGGAGCTTCTTAAATTAGGGATTCCCAAGTCTCGTCCATCAAATATTCTGAATTAGAAGTTTCAGATGGGACTCAGGAAGACATGCATTTTAATCAAGCATCTCAGGATACATTGGTGCAAACGATGTTTGGATTATGCAAGAGAAACACTGTAACTTGACTGGGTCTCATTTTATTTTTACGAAGTCGAATAATGGGATTTACTTCATTAAACTGTAAATTTCTTGAGCTTAGAGACCATGGTCTATATCCTGCCACAATTCTTAGCCCAGTGTCTGGCCTGGAGTAGGTTAAACTCAGTTACCCACGACTCTCAGTACCTTTTTGTTAGTCTGAGCTGGGGGACTGAAGAACTAAGCTTGATCCCAGGTCTCTGGGGCTGCAGAAGAGATTGGGGCAGACAGCATGGGGAGCTTTCTGCATGCTGGCCTTGGCATGGTAAGGCAGTGATATCAGTTTTCAGACCATCAAATTCTGCCTGTGCTGTTATATTTCTTAAGTGAACCTCTAATATCTTTTCTCCAGAAGCAACTTAAGTCTTAATTTTTTGTTTCCTGCTATGCCTTACTTTGAGTAGGTCCACATATCTAATAATAATAATGGATGATCCCCACTCATCCCCAGCCTCATTTGTCAATGTTCCTAGCAAGAAGTCTAATCTAGCAAGAATCCTGTCTAATGAATTTTCATTCGTTATGGTTTATTCCAGCCCTTGGTGTCCTATGTACCAGGTATGGGGTGAAAGGTTGCACACAGACACATCCTGGTAATAACATGGGCTAAGTTCTCAGTGTGCCCTGAGCAGAGACAATGGCAGGTGGAAAAGTATACCTGGATGCCCTTGACCCTCATGGAGACAAGGATGG